TCACAAAGTTTGATTTCTATATATGATTTATTTTTTCCACTGGGTGAGTACTTGATACTTTTAAAACACAGCACACTGTATTTGTAGTAATCCACAATTAGATTAACAGATGAATGTACTTGCAGACAGTGTGGCTTTTGTCCAGGTCCCTTTTCTTTTCAACTTTATAGCCAAAATGCTGCCATATCTGAGCTTTTAGATTTCAGATTGTATCCATCTGCAGTTGCACACACTTAATTACTTATTTGCGATATATATGCCGGCATAGTGTCCAGTGATTGCATGCTAAGGGTGTGCCATATCATCTCGTTCAAGATAATACCAATATAATTTTTGATATGATATGAAAAACTCCTATCATGATACTTGCGATATTTCGACTTGTTGACATATTGACGTCATACTGTTACCCACAGCAACAGCAAGCATGGCTAAAAGTGAAATTATTTGCATCTCTGTGGTGGTTCTCAGAAGAGGAGCAGCTTCAGTAGCATGGAATAAACTGTGGCGTTGTGAATGTTTTACAAAAAGCCCAGGACTTCTCAGACTCTTTTAATTTCAATTAAATTCCATTTTTTAATTTTATTTATAAAGCCCAATATCACAAATCACAGTTTGCCTTTAGAGGGCCTTACAGCATACGACATCCCTCTGTCCTTTGGACCCTATTGCACCCCTATTGCATACTGTACTGCCAAAGTGTCCACGTCACGATGCATCTAAGAATCAGTTATTTCCTGCACCCCTTGTATGTATCCCACTAGCTAGTTAATTGCCACCACTTTGCACTGTGCTCATACAATGGTTACCATTGCTATTGAGACTGTGTCGTTGTGGATGTGATTGTGATGACATGCACTTCTCTGAACCTGCCACTTGCTGTGTTGCAGCTGTCCAGGAGAGGAACTCGTACGCTGTCAGTGTGTGGAAGAGAGTGAAAGCCAAGCTGGAGGGCAGAGACATTGATCCCAACAGGAGGATGAGCGTCACAGAGCAGGTAATACTCAAGACACACTGGCTTCTGAGCCAGATTTACACACAAAATGACCATTTATTAGTATCAGTTATTCATGCTGTGTTAACTTGAATTTGTGAAAGAGTTTTTCTCCCAACAAAGAACGAAGAATCGGAAAACGGAAGCATTGTTGATTAACTAAAGTAAATGGAGATCAGGTTTAACAACAGCAAAACTATATCAAAATATCTCTTTACAAACTCTTACACAATTTGTGCAGAATAATCCAAGTCTCATTTATCAAAAACATTTTTAAATGTCATAAAAAATCATTAAATGTCATTAAAAATCATTTTTTAAAACGCACACACTGCCTTCTTAACTTTAGCCCTTTCTAACAGGGATGAAAAGCCAAACTTATCTTTGCTTTCACTTGCCTCTGAAAATGAGACGCAGGTTTTATGAGATGTCTCCTGAGCTGGTGTCCTGCTGTTACGTTGCAGGTGGACATAGTCATCAAGGAGGCCACCAACATGGACAACCTGGCCCAGCTGTATGAGGGCTGGACCGCCTGGGTGTGAACACTATGCCGCTTCATGTCTTTGGTCCAGCGAAGGCTTGGAGATCCACCAGAGTCCAGCGGGTCTGGGGTGTCGGAACAGCAGCACCGGGCCACACTGGGGGGAGGAAATGGGAAGCGGATCACTTAGTCCGCCCTCCCAAACTCCTGGGCACCCAAACTGGGGCAGCGACCTCGTAGCACCGCTGCAACCACACTCCCCCAACCACCGGCGATCGGGCTAACACAACGCTTAGTGGGCCTGATGCCCCCGCATTCCTCTCTGGGGTTTGACCAGGCAAAGCAGCGCCGAATGGGGGAGGGGGGAAGGAGGGCAAAGGCCTCCTCACCCTCGACTTAGAAATACCTTCCCCCCTCACCTGCATAGCTCACTGTCAAGTTGTACCCATAAACATCACTGCATCCTGTTGAGCCAGTCAAAGTCCACCTGAGGGCAGGATGAAGCAGGAAGTGAGCTGTTTCCCCCTGAAGCGCACAGCTGACAGGTTGTGGATGGGACTTCATCAGGGCCAGAGCTCAGATGGATGGGTCATTTCCATGGCCACACTTGTTTTTCTCTAATCTTTATCTCAATGGCATTGTGGTTCTGATTGGCCAGTGGGTTACACGGTTGGGCAGTAATGATGAGAAAGAAGGTTCAATGGGATTCTTAAGGCTACATGGACACCCACCTGTAATGAAGAGATTAAGGTGGGAAAAAATAATCAAACTGTACTTTGATTGATAAACAGTAAAGACTTTTACACGTCGCTGAAAATTTCCGGTATTAAAGTTAAAGTGGAGTTGTTTTCTCAGGAAGGTCCTTTGTGCTTTTGTGGATAAAACTGAAGTGTCCAATCATGTGAAATAATTTTGGACAGCTCACTTGTGATCTTCGAGTGGACACGTAAAGGTGAAGTCACTTACACGAGGAACAACCTCTGTCTGATTCTTTTTCTTCGGTGTGCATCATAAGTCTGTGTTGAGCTTTCTAACTATGTTTGGTCCTTTAGACGGAACTGTAGAAGAGTAGATTTCTGCCTTTTTTTGACTTGCCTGTCAGAAGCTGTTTCTTGCCTCATACATATTCACTCCCCAGCCCCAATGCTTGCATTTTATTAACCTTGACCTTCTAGTTTTACATTTTTAGTGGGAGAAATTTGCTTTTGGTGATGGTGCAAATTGTTAATTCTTAAAGCTTTTATTGGATTTTGTTGGATGCCAAATAAACATGGAACTGAGAATTGTTAATTGTCTTATTTAACAATGAGAATCTTTAGATCACCCAATGACAGAAACTGCATGCACACACAAAAAAAAAACATGCATGAATCCTTTTTGATATTTTAACAAAGTTCAAGAAGTTTTCCTTTTGTTACCAGTTTTCCAGTATCATTACCAGATGATAGAAACATAGACATGGACATGAGTTGTCAACAGTTTCAACATTTAATCACTAGCAGTAATAGCAATTGTAGATCTAAACAATTTCTTTTTGACTAGTTAGAATTCCAAGCCAATATATCCATAAGTTAGCTTATTAGCACGTCTAATTAAAGTGGTCGAATGACATGTTGAGGATATGTTGCTAGTACATATGTAGACAACTGCAAGTTTTGTGATGATAGGGACATAGGTATATTGTCAAATATTTTGGTGACATTTGGTTAAAAATCAGATGAAAAAAAATGTTGCGCATACAGTACAAATTACAACAAGATATTGGATATCAGGGCATCGGTGGCTTAGTGGTAGAGCAGGTGCCCAATGTACAAGGCTGCTGCCGCAGCGGCCTAGTTTCAACTCCAGCCTGTGGCCCTTTGCTGCATGTCACTCCCTGTCTCTCTCCCCCCTTTGACCCTTGACTGTCCTATCAATTAAAGGCTAAAATGCCCCAAAAAATATGTTAAAAAAAAAAAGATATTGAATATCACTGTGAGCTAACCATGAAACCAATCTGAACACCATTTGAAACATGATATCTAGTGTCCAAAGAATGTCTGACAATTGACTATAGATTGCAGTGAGAAAAACGTGTCACAAATCAGTGGATATGTTGAAAAAAATTCAGCTCGGTAGGACAAATTGGTGATTTATTATGATTTATTTTAAGTTTAGAATGTGAAATGTCTTGAAATGTAGGTTTATTGTAATAAGCCACACTCTCTTTAAGCCACCATTTCCAAATTTTGTGCATCAACTGGGACCCAGGTGGTGCAAACCAAATTTCATACAAATCTCTGTTGCTGATTATGAGATGCAAACTTTTTGCATTTTTGCAGCGTCCCCTAGTGGTTGATTTGAATCTGAAACTTTCAGGGTTTGAAAAAGGTAATTGTATGGTGATGATTAGATTCACAAGTCAGTCTTTAGACGCTTGTCTGGTGGCAAGACTAGGTGATGATTGGTTCAATGGTTATGGAGTTAGGTCTATTTATATGCTGAGCTACACCCTCTTTACAGTTCATTGGTCAGTATTTTTAAAACACAATGAGATATCAACAAGCTTTTAATAAATTTTGATGAGCTTGGTCCAATAATATATAAAAAACTTTGTTATGAATAGGACCTATGGTTTAGGAGGAGATGTCAAAAATGTGTTTTTCAAAAAATTAAAGTCAGAAAATTTCCCCAGTGGTCCCATCTTGATTCTTGAGGTGTTTTCGTAGAGCACATTGAGCTGCATTTTTTAATTTGAAGTCAATCAGACTTTTGTCCTTTCAAAAATACAATTTTTTAGCCTTAATTATAGCGCCCTCATCTGGCCAACTGGTGTCATTTCTTGAACAGCATTTGCACACTACTTTGAATCATTGGTGAAAATTTCATGTGTGTAAGATGTAACATCACACCAGAATTTGTGAAAACATTTCTGTAGGAAAAAAATGAAAAAAAAAAAAAGCATAGTCATAAAAAACTATAGGGTTTCAGCTCTTCGGGCTTGAGACCTACATAAATGTATGCATTTACTGACGTATGCACAGTTAGGGTAGTGCAGTTATATAACATGATTCTATAAACACAAAGGCACTGTAGGAGCAGCTGCACTGTGATACCCACAGTACAACATGTAGACCTGCTGAAAGACAGCTGCTACAAGCTTGAACCTTCTGATTTTAACAGAATAGAGATGATAAAAATTATTCTTCTGCATCATAACATTAAACGGCACTTTCCACTGCATGTTGGTAGTCCATTGTCGTGAATGAATACATGAGCAGTTTTGTCAGTGCAAACTGGGATTGGAACATGGATTCAAAGTTCACAGGCAGCCAGCACTGTCTCATAACCCACTAAAAGTCTAAAAACACACTTTATAAAAAATGTCCAGGTGGTTCAGAGTCATAATCACAATACCCAAAATTCTCTGGGTTTGTTCCGCCCTTCATAACCCGTCTTTATCTTGTGTAAACAGGTCAGAGCAGAACAGAAACCCCCTCACAGGTCCTGATTAAGAAGAAGAGGCCCTGTAGGTTAATATATTACAGCTGCTCTGCTTAGCACAGCTCACCCTGCGCTGTGTGTCAGAGGGACAGACAGTGAGACGAATCAGTGTCTTGGCGTCTGAGTGGACAGTAATGTCGGGGCAGCGTGTTTGTGTCGAGGACTTTGAGAAGGAAGCCAAGAAAGTTCTTCCTAAAGCTGTGTATGACTACTACTGCTCAGGAGCTGATGAGCAAAACACACTGGCTGATAATGTTGCTGCCTTTAAGAGGTACCACACATACACACACACACACACACATGTACAGAGAGGGTACAGTCTGCCTGAAACATAAGAGGCCCAACAGTAAAGTAAAACAGACAATACTGGAATTCATTCAAAATATCATGTAACCAGGGTGTCTGCAGCTCCTTAAAATGTCTTAACTTTGATAAATGGCCTTAACCTTCATTAAATAGTCTTAAATTTTTGATTGCTGCCACAAACATTGTATATAATTTTATGTATCCATCTTATAATTTCTTTTTGTCAAAATAAGTCAAGCTCTTCTGTGTGAAAGTCCACATTTCTGATGTTACAAATCTTTAAACCTACCACTGAACCTCATACTGTCTTTTTTACTTTACTTGCACTTACCTACTGGCAAATTGTAGACTAATCCAACTCACTCTAATAACCATATTTACTCCTCCATAAAACCTACCTCTGCATGGGACCACCAACCTGTAATACTTCTCAGCCAGGCTAGACTAGGAAAAAAGTTGATCGTTCTAAAATCTGTCTGAAATCTGGTTAAAAATGATCTTGAAAGGGTTTTATTTCAAACAGGTCATTCAGCTTTCATGTGTGAACGTGCTGGTTTGTCTTTAGCTTTGTTGCCTAAATGCCTTATATTCTGGCTTAATAAAAATGTGATTAGTTTGTCACCATTCACTTTTTGACCAGTGTGTTTGTTTATTGCTGTAAGCAGCAATCACACTCATGCGTACGTCTTTTTTGTCCTGTGTTCATACATCAATTCCATTCCCCATAGGTACAAATAAAAGTATCTACCTAATATGTGCGTAACTTTATGAAATGGCCTACAATTTCTTATACAGTATGCATAAATTGGCATGTAAGATATTCTAGGGAGGGTTTTTTTTTTTGGGGGGGGGGGGGGGGGGGGGGGGGGGGGGGGGGGGGGGTTTAGTAATTGCGGCTCCTACAGCTCTTATGCTACCAAGAAATGTCATACTGCCATAGCTGTAGCCTGTAGGAGAACCCTTTTTTGTTCCTGGTAGAACAGTTTATAAAGGTTCAACTAGGAACCCTTTCAGAGGGTTTTACCTTGAAACAAACATGAAGGGTTATACCCAAAACCATCTGTGAAAGGTTAATGATTACAGCAGCTCTGCTGATCACAGCTTATCCTGCTCAGTATTGTTCCCCCATCAAGTGTGTGTTAGGTCCATAGTCCCACTGTATCTGAGCCACTGTATACAGTGCAGACAAAACAAACTCTCTTTAAATTGCACTTCCTGTAAGAACACAATTTTAATAACACTTATCTCTGTGGAACCTGGGGTCAGCCCATGCCAAACTGTGTGTGTGTGTGTGTGTGTGTGTTTTGAATTTTAACTGTTTCATCATCACTTTCTCACTGGTTCAGCAAACATATCAGCATTGATGCTTTGATCCAAATAATTATGTCTCATGTTACGAGAGTTAAAGCCAAACTGATTACAAACAGACTATCTTATGATTCAGCTCACCTAGTATACTGGTGTACTGAATGGTGTGTGAAAATGATTTTCACTGTGCAAGTGACCTCACCACTGATCCTCCCTCTTTACTGTGGTACCACCAAACTGCCAGTCAAAGCGTCCATGCCCCTTCAGTTAGTTTACCTTTAAGCCTTAATAACATTTAAATAGATGAGTCATATTATATATGAGTTTTTGTACCAGGCTGTAAACATGTTTCTTTCTACTATAAAGTTTGGTATTTTGGTAGAGTTGGGTCTACAGGGATTGACTTGAGTCAGCCTCAAGTGGCCATTAGAGGAACTGCAGTTTTTGGCACTTGAGCAATAGCTTTATTTTTTAGAGGCTGACCAGCTTTTTCAAAACGAGACTGATTAGGTCCCAGCTTTTAGACAGTATCAGTGTTCCCATGGTCACTACAAATGCTAAACACTCAACTCAACCCACAAACCACACATACAGTATAGATAGATGAAAATATAAAGTAATTAAACAGAGTTACAGCATTGTACAACACTGCATAATTTGATCAACACCTTGTAATGATTTCAACACCCCTGGGAAAATGTTAAGCACTCTGGGCTTAAGTACACACTCTGTCACTGGATTTTGGACTTCCTCCCAAACAGACTTCAGATTCAGTTTCGAATCCACACAGCTGTGATTCAAATAGCTTTGTGGTGTGGTCAACCCTTTCCTGTTCACACTGTGCACCCACGACTGCAGCCCCCTCCAGAAAACTCTGTTGTGAAGTTTTGTGGGTGACACCGCCATCATTGACTGGAGTATATATTTGTTTATTTTCAATTATGTTATTTTTAACTATGTTAGGTTTTAAACCTAAACTTAACAGTTTTTACAATAACATGTAAACAGGTGCCAAATGAAGTGTAAATATGCAGAGGATTGGTGGTGATTAAGGTGAGAAAACAGTTCATACTTTTTGAAAGATTGGTCATTGTACTAAAACTAATCAACAGTTTGTGTGTGTGTGGGGGCAGATGGCACCTTGTCCCTCGTGTGTTGAGGGATGTGTCCAAAGTGGATCTCTCTGTCTCTGTGCTGGGCCAGAAGCTTAGCATGCCGCTCTGTGTTGCAGCCACAGCAATGCAGAGGATGGCTCATCCTGAGGGAGAGACAGCTACAGCAAGAGGTAAACATACACACACGCATACACACACACACACACACACACACACACGGGAAATAAGAAATGTAACTTGAGAAAATAGAATGGAACTTGACAGAGAGGTTAGCACAAAATGATTATTATGTTATGCGCTCATGGTTTTTTTTACATCATGTGCTGATTATTACATTAGGAGCCTTTATTATATTTGAATTATTGCATCATGTGCATTTATTACATTATGAGTCACTATATGAAATGATACACAATGGAACCTGCGAGTGCAGAATAATATAGAATCAAGGCATAAAATAATGTAGAATTGAACTGGGAAAATAACATAACATAGACTGTACCTTGGAAATATCAATCAATCAATCAATTTTATTTATAAAGCCCAATATCACAAATCACAATTTGCCTCACAGGGCTTTACAGCATACAACATCCCTCTGTCCTTATGACCCTCACAGCGGATAAGGAAAAACTCCCCAAAAAACCCCTTTAACGGGGAAAAAAAACAGTAGAAACCTCAGGAAGAGCAACTGAGGAGGGATCCCTCTTCCAGGACGGACAGACGTGCAATAGATGTCGTACAGAACAGATCAGCATAATAATAGAATAATAGAATAGAATAACACAGAGCGTGAATTGGGAAAAGAATAATAGAAAATTTAACTTGCTAATATTTTTTTCTTTTTTGCATATGGCGTCATACATCAGCAACTGGAGTCAAAGTGTTCCAACACAGCACAAATGCCAATGATTTGTGCTGTTTAGGGCTGTTCCAGTTGATCAAACTGGAAAAACTAGTGCCACTTTAAGTTCCGAGAATAGTAAGACATAAAGGGGAGAAGTAAAAAAATAGAAACTCACAGGAACAGTGGTAGATGTGGATCAAAAACCTCCACCTTCAGTCTGGAGGTGTGGAGTCAACTAATGTCAAATGTAAAAGTTGAAGCGTTGTATTAAACATGTCTTGAGTTGCTTCTCCCTGTTTTCAGCCACAACCTAGATTTTTAACGCTGTTTTACCAGACCTCTGGGAATGGTTGACCTAGTGAGTTGAAATTGGTAGCTAAAGGTAGCTAAACATTAGCTACTAACATTAGCCTGACAGCTATGCATCTATGTAGAGTTGAAATACAAAATAAAAGACAGTTATACTCAAACACATTTACTCACCTGGCCAAAAACAAGACAGCAGTGGTTTCAGTCGTGGACAAAACCGCTCACAAAATAGATCTAATCCACTTGACCCTTGTATGCTTTCATTTGCTTACCATGTAACATTATTAACGTTAGGAGGTCTGGAGGCCAAAGTTATTTGTAATGATCGCGTCCACACCAGGCAAAACGCCGAAAAATTTCCCTTATTTTCAAATCCAAAACTTGACAGGTATGGTTATATTATGTGTCTACCCAGCATGCAGAGCAGTAGGGACAGGGATGATGCTGAGCTCCTGGGCCACCTCCACCATAGAGGAAGTGATGTCAGCAATGACGGCCTCACCAGGTGGTGTCCTGTGGCTGCAGCTTTACATCTACAAAGACCGAGAGCTCACACTATCATTGGTCCGCCGGGCAGAAGAGGCGGGCTATAAGGCTATCTTTGTCACTGTGGATACACCATACCTGGGGAGGAGATGGGATGACATGCGCAATCGCTTTAAACTGCCCTCACACCTGAGGTAGGAACCAAACACAACACAGGACAATATACATTCTTCCTAAATTCAACAATGGATACTACAGACTGTGTCCCATTCTAAACCATTACTCTGTGTGTGTGTGTGTGTGTGTGTGTGTGTGTGTGTGTGTGTGTGTGTCCAGCATGTCTAACTTCTCATCAGCCTCCCTGGCTTTCTCTGAGGGAAACTATGGCAACGACAGTGGTTTGGCTGTCTATGTTGCAAAGGCAATAGACCCCACTCTCTGTTGGGATGACATCACATGGCTAAAAAAACACACACACCTTCCTGTGATTGTGAAAGGCGTACTTAATGGTATGCAAACACACACTACCATACACAAACCTTTTGCTTAGCAGAGTTAGAGAATTCAGTATAGTATTAATGAACCGATTTTAAAGAAATAGTGTTTAGGGGGATTTAGTGGCATCTGCTGAGGATTGCAGATTGCAACCAGCTGAAACTTCTCCAGGTTAGAATTCCTTCAGTATTCATTGTTCAGGAGGTTTTTACCAGGAGCTGAATTATACACAGAGGTCTCTTTCTCTCCAAAACAAACAGACCTGATGATTGTATAGTATATACCAGTAAAAACAAAAAGCAGTTTCATGTTACAAATCAGTGTTTCTCCTATGTTGTTTGGCACAACCCAGACAGGCCACTTGCCTAGCATCTGCTATGCGGGCTCACCTATTTTCTCTGATAACTTAAGATCCAAACATTCAGGAGGTTTTTACCATGAGCCGAATTATCCACAGAGATCTCCTCCTCTCCAAAACGAATTGACCAGGTGATTTAAATTGGTAAAAACACTGAATAAAGTAGATTCATGTTTCTGATGCTCTTGTACTGGAGGGGCTGCTAACAGCGGTGGTTGATGAAAAAATATGAAAACGTGAAAACACGACATTCCGAATTTAGAGCCAATGTTTAATTTGTCCATTCTGAGCTACTTTAGAAACATGGCAATGCAAAATGGAGATCTCTGTAGATGAGGACAGGCTCATTCTAAGGTAATGCAAACACAAGAGTTCTTATTTATAGGTGTTTGTACACTAAAGAAAACATCCCTATTGTATTGCATTTCTGACAATATATCCCTCTACATCCAGTGGACCTTTAATGTGATTCTCAAAAAATTGAAATCTCCCTTATTGCATTTGCAAAATTGAATTTACATTTGGTTTTACAACCCAAGCCAGTGCTGTTTCCCTCTACAGTAAAGTCAGAGTAAGATATTAATGTCAGTGTTGTGCAGTTGTTGGCAAAAGCTTTATTGTGCCATAAGGACCCCACTTCTAGCTTGCTGATCATCAGCTATGCCAGTATAACTCTGAAAATATTAGAATAAAAATCACAATCAATCAACAACTCTTTTTTTGTCTGGGCCAAGATGAACTTGTTCAGCAGTGTGTGTGTGTGTGTGTGTGTGTGTGTGTGTGTGTGTGTGTGTGTGTGGTCAGGTGAGGATGCTGTCCAGGCTGTGAACTACGGCGTCGATGGCATCCTGGTGTCAAATCATGGAGCTCGACAACTGGATGGGGTTCCTGCCACGGTCCGTACAAGTTTGTGTGTGTGTGTGTGTGTGTGTTTTGTTCTTTTATGAAATATTAGGTACCAGACAGTATCATCCATCTCTGATATGATGGAACTCTTTACTTTTAACAGCTACAATCCAGAAAATCAAACATGATCTTCTCATGATATGGCACCTATATCATAATCTGAATCTTTGGACTTTTTATACTTAAATAACGTCATATTGTACACTTAATATGGTATATAAACTAATCTACTACTAACCAGCAAACTACTAACCAGTCTCACGCTTTAAAGGAAACTTGAGGTGTTATTCTTTACCTTTCTTACTGTCAACAAATCCGCTGAAAACACAAAAATCAGTAACATGTTGTGCTCCTAGCAGCGTAACATAATTGGGAGATTTGAGTCAGGTCATATCACTTGACTCGAGTCAGACTCGAATTACAAATTTGAGGACTTGAGACTTGCTTGACTGACACTAATAAAAGACTTGACTTTGACTTAGTATTCAGGACTTGAGACTTAACTTAGACTTTAGACAGATTAACTCGAAAGGGCTCCCTCTCTGGTTAACTATTTGCATCTTTCTCGAGTGAGAAGCTATGTTTTGTTTTTTTAAACATAATCTGGTGATTTCTTGTGCAGTGCACGCAAACCTGGCAATGCACTAGGACACTGCAGACCAGCAGGCAAAGACACTAGGCAGCTATATTGAGGGGGCAAGTTGAAAAAAGCTAAAATTTGGATTCAAGTATGATATTGTTGATGACAGCAGTAATAAGAGAACAGCAGTATTTAAAGTCTGCAGCTCAGAAATCGGTGACATCACTACCACATCATCCAACTTCATCCATCACTACAAAACCCACAAAGAAAGGTGGGTGAATGTTTCTTTTTAGCTAACTTAGTAGCATTTAACTAGATCTTCAGAATTTCATATGACTTGACTCAGGACTTGCTTGACCTGAGCAATGACTTGCCTTGTCTTGCTTGAATTATAACAGGGACTTGACTTGATTGTCACCACAGTAACTTGGGACTTGCTTGAGACCTAAAGGTTTAGACTTGAGACTTGCCTGTGACTTGCACGTGTGACTTACTCCCACCTCTGCATCCCCGATGCAAGTATTTTTCTTGAGTCCTCGCTTTGTGCTACACACAACTACATGCTCATGTGCAAACACACACATGGACACACACAACCACTCCAGACAATGCAGAGGCTCACCATTCTATCCTCAAGCAGGCATTTGATCAGCACCACAGCCAGGAGGTGGTATGTACAGCTAGCACAATTACGTGCTATTTTAGTGTTATCGCAGTAGCTAGTGTGTGACAGGGCCAGCCACCTGCAACAGTAAATTCATAAAAAAATCTTCTTCCCGCCTGTGGGAACAGTGCACTGCACTGTTTGTACGCATCACTCAATATTTTCTGACATCCCTGTCTTTGGCATTCAGCTCCAAGTCCATTGGTCCCTACTCAGACACAGTGGGGGACAGGCTTGGTTCTGTCCACTCCTGTCATCATTTGACCTCCTTATTCAGTGTAACTGGTCCTACCACTGTGAGCCGCCTCAAAACCATCAGCTACCTTGGCTACATGGTTTGGACTTCTTAATTGAGGATTAATCAGTAAGATTTCTCTTTAACATGGCACAGCAAGTGCAGGCATCACAGGATTTCAGCCACTGGATTAGTGCCATGTCTTTGTTGAATTAATGGGTAATATAGGTATTTTTTCAACCTGGACCCTATTTTCCCATGTTTTTGTATCTAAGTGACTAATGGGAACAGCATTTTTTTAAACTGATCCAGTACTGAGAGAGACAGCTGCAGCTAGCAGTGGCGAAACAAGCTGCTATGTAATCCCTGCAGGCAACTGAGCTTCATCAATTTACGTCCACTAAAAGTGCTTGTTATTACTTCTGACAAGCTCAGATTGTTATTCAGAACGACTGACAACACTACAGAAATGATCCCAACAGAGATAGACCTCTTTGTTAGAGAGTAAAATCCTTTTTGTTTTACCAGAAACAGACCCGTAATCACCATTACCAAACCCACCAGACTGAATTTAAATAAACAGTAATTGTTATCATTGTAAAACACACTATATTCAAAGTTGACAGAAGCAAGATAAAACTCTTTCACTGTTCCAATACTCACCAGCTCTGGTTTGGTTTAAATAAACCATTAATCCATCCAGTTTAGTTAGGGCTGCTGTGGCTCAGGAGGTAGAGTTGATCATCCACCAATAGGAAGCTCAGCAGTTCAATCCCCAGCTCCTCCAGTCTGCATGCCAAAGTATCCTTGCGCAAGATACTTAACCCCAAATACAAAAACAATTTTCACGCTTCAACAAAAAGGTTAACCTCTGCATATACTTTTCATAACACTGTCAGACCCTTATGTTGTGTTCACACCAAACATGATGTTTCGCATTGTGCCACGCTAGAATATTTTGTGTTGACTTACTTCATAAGTGTACGGAGTACGGAGCCCCTAAAGGGACATGGAAGGGGGAAAAAAATAGACGGTTAAAAAAAAAAATAGTACTTTTGCAAGATCTCGCAAAGCTTTCCTTTAAGTAATGTACTTCCAGGTCAGTTTGGCCCATAGAGACTGCAAACAAATGCAACAATGGAGCGCATTCACCCGTGGGAAAGGCTCATAGAGTTTTATTTTGAGATTGGCCTCAAATATAAAGACATTAAATCAGTGCTCGCGAGTAAACACGGTTTTCATGTAGTGAGAGACATCTGAAGCGACTACTTAACGCAAGAGGACACTTTCGTCGAAAAACATTCTGTGACTTGGCGGTCCTGAATGAATTCATTAGCAACCAAATACAGTACTCTGGACAGCTTCACGGTTACCGGTGGATGTTTGCTAAATGCAGAGAACATGGACTACGAGTGAGGAAAGAGGATGTGCGCTTGGTGTTGAAGGAGCCATGTTTACTCGCGAGCATTGATTTAATGTCTTTATATTTTACGGAAGCGCATTGCATTCACTGGATTAAAAAAATTAAAATTAGACACTTTTAGACAATTAGACAATTATGAGAAAAGATCTCGTAATTATGAGATCAGGAAAGGTGCCACATTAGCCACTGCTTCGCTAAGAAACACATACTGCACATCCACAAAGGGGGGTCGGAACTAACCAGCTG